TAATGAAGAAGTGGAGTTTCATACTTCCCTTAATTCTTTGCTAAGGGCCTCACCATTAGTACACCACTACTAAGTCTCTAACCACAATGACTATAACTATTGTGCATTATCTGAATGAGAAAAATGACACACTACTGTGCATTATCTGAATGTGACACATGAAACATTGTTATTCATTATCTAAATGTGACACATTGTTATTATCTAGTCTCACATGGAATTGGATACTAGAATGCTGGGGGAAAATATTGATATCACATAGCATCGATGAAATTCCCACTGAGCTATTGAATGATCACCCAGTATCACATAACATCAGGTAGATCATGGAGGGGGAACCATGGTCACATAACATCAGTAATTCCCACTCAATTGAAGCATTGCCTCGATATAACATAACATCGAGACAAACTTTAATGATAACTGCTAAACTAAACTAATGCAACTACAAATGCATATCTGAGGACCCAAAGGCCACACATCATTGACAATGTCCAAATAGGGAAACTAAGGTAGACTAGTTACACATTAGCATAGCTCATGACATTGAAGTGAGGTCATCCCCTCACTTGTTTCTATCTTGCTCATTCTCTCATCTTGAACGCTATGCAAGGGTTTATTAGTCTGTTCCATATGTTAGTTTAATAAGCTGTTGTATTATGGTTATTTATCACTTAAGGGTGTTTTAGTTATTTTGACCTCTAAAGAGGTCTCTATGTGTTTCATGATTTTAAGACAATTACTAATTTTTTGTTTATTATTTGCTAACTCGATGCCTGAACCAGGTTCATCATTGGGTAGCGACACTCTAATTTCTATCATCACACTTTCCTTAATTCACCCTTGAACTGAAAGAACAACTTAAATGTCCTCAATTCATGGATGTTATCATAACATACAACTCTTTTATTTCACAATCTGATTAGCTTAACATATCACTTGTTGATATATCCTCTTTAACGATCCTTTTTATTAGTTACTTGATACGTGTTCGACTGAAGATACTTGGAAGTATTATGCCTAATGGTTACTTCGAACGTAACCCACTCCTAAGTATATTTCTACGCACCTTTAGCCAATTATGTTTCTTATAGACTAAGTCTCACCCTTACGAGTCATCTTTAACTATTATGGGCCTTAACGAAGTCGAATCTAACCATCCAAAATGAGTAGTATCGATACCCTATATGTAATATCGATACTCCCAAGTCAAGTACTGATACACCCTTGAGTATCGGTACCAAAAACAAATTCGAAGTTCCAAAAATCCTTACATTATTGATACTGTTATTTCTAGTACTGATACTACTATTCACAGTATCGATATTATTATTACCATCACTGATATTATTATATAATATTTGTATCAGCACTGTTCATCTAAATTGATACTGTTATCCAGTATCAGTGCTCAATCCTAAAAAACCCAAGAATTGAGAATTACTCAAAAATTGTCTTAAATGTCTTATTTTGATCCTAAATCATATGCTAAAGCTTAGGGAAGTTACCTAGGGTCTCTAGCACCCTAAAAATATAATCTAAGCAGCAAAAATGTCATATATGGCATGAGTCAATCATAAACCTTAAAAATGCTTAAATATCCAAATCTCGATAAATTTTCATAATTATGAAAGCCTTAACACCAAAAAAGATTATAAATACACTACTTTGATGTTAGAATCTCGAAATAAAGCTCCCTTCTTAGCCACTCACTTCCTCTAAGACTTGGATACAAAAACCCCTTCTTTATCTAGCCAACATGAATAACAATTATTTCCTTAGCACCAAGAATGATGTATAAAGGATTAGGGATGAATTGAAACTTTAAGGAAACATAAAAGGGCTCAAGGAACATACTCTTAGCTATGGCACTTGGAGAGGAAGAAAGAGAATGAAGAAAATGATGGAAATAAGATAAAGGGAGATATAAAGCTCTCATCTTTTCATAAATGGGAAAATCACACTATTTGTCCCACCTTATCTTCTATTATGTAAAAATTCTAATTTTGTTGATAAATTGGGCTCAATTCACACTCAACCAAGCCCACACTTAGCCTAACAACTTTCATTATAGACTTCGCATGGTCCACAAACCTCTCGGGTAAACCCGAAACTACCAATCTAGATTTGGGGTGTTAAAAGAATAGAAACTATCATCAGTAATACAAACCTTTTTATGGCCAAAGCATGGGTTATATCAATAAAATAAATAATGTAAATTTTTCATATGATCAGAAGCTTCAGAATCAATAATCCAAGGGTTTAATTTTGTATCTTTATGTACCATAGAACAATTTGGAGTACAGAATTAGGGTTTAGCAGATTCAAGAGTTGATCGATTTACTCCTTGCTAAATGGGTTGGTCTGTTCAGCAGAGGCATTAACAGTATGTGGTTGGCACTTGTTCCTTGGCTACCAATCTATAGGCATACCTTGGAGATATTAACATGTTTCTCTAGTCTGTCGTGGCTTGTTGCAATGATCACACCACAGTCGGGTTTTCTCCTCATTATTTTATGAATGAGGAACATTCCTCTTGCTGATATAAGCCTCATAATGCCTAGCTCTCAAATGTCCTGGTAGGAGTGGATTTCTTGTTGAGCATCGCTCCTCTTCATGTTTCTTTGTGGAAAGCTTCTGAGAAATCCTCATGGATTAAAGGCAAAAAACTTCTCCCAATAAATTTCCCCTAACCCCATCACAATGCTCATTAAAACCAGCAAGAAATTCGAAAATGCTAGTTACATAAACAATAACCTTATACCTAATACATCATTATGACACTCCCACTCTTGATCATTAAACATGTCTAAGTCTTGTCATATTCTCTTCAAAGAATTAAAATATTTTGTGACAAAATCGTTACCTTGACGAATATCACCAAGTTTCAAGGAAAATTCATAAACCTAAGATTGGTTACCCATATCTGGATATATATGGGTCACTTTCTCCTAAAGTTCTTTGGCAGTAAAGTAACACATGTACTTTGAGCCTATATCCTCTTCCATAGAGTTCACCAACCATGTCATTATCATGGAATTCTCTACACCCAAGTTGTTTGGGATTGATTTTTAGTGGCTGGCCCAAGGACTTCCCTTGTTAGGTAGTCTATCTTCCCTCTTCCTCTATTGTACATGCTCACCGATTGTGATCAGCATACAAAATTGTCACCATTGAGACGGATTGTGGTGATATAGATTGGATGATTTTTGGTGGTTATAGAGTAGAGTGGTGCAAAAGGAAATGGCAAGGTTGAAGGCTGAGTTGAGGTGACATAATCTTTTGTATTTTAAGACATGATTGAAGAAAGAGAAGATGTTTTTTCATGGCTAAACAAGGAGCAAGCTAGGGTTTCTCAGGAATTTTATTCCTGCTTTGATTCCATAAAAACATAAACAAAAAGAAGAAAAATTCTTTCTACTATATCTCATACTTTATACGACACATATTCTTACAAGAATACTACCTCTTAAATAAGGAAAGTAACTAATTTCTTAGAGTTGTTTCCTATTACACTACACGATTAATTATGCAAGATTTGTACAGCTACACAATGATCTATAAAAGCAAAAAAACTAATTCTAAAAATCAATTGATTCTTTCCAACAACATTGTTCTTAATGCATGAAAATTAATAGGGAATTAAAAAAATGTACAAACAGACAAACTAAAAACATAAATGTAAAAGAGGGGGAAATTTTCCTTTAACTATTGAAGAACCCACAACGATGTCAACATCCTTATTTGCTTTCTTCACCTTATTCTTCTCCCTCTTCCTGACCTTCTTACTAAGTTTTCTTTTCTTCCTCGTTAAACATGGAAAAGTGATGAGGTCCTCATTTTTCGTACCAATATCATCAAAAGTTGCGACAATGGCTTATCAGTGACAATAATCTCATCAATGGGTTGATCAAGCAGTATCACTTGCATAGATAAAATCTTAGCATCTTCATTAATAGGTGTCGATGGAAATTCCATAGTGTGTCAACATCGGTTGCAATACCCGTGTTGGTACTATCAATAGCCTTCTCGAAAGCAAAAGTATCTTCCATAGGAATATCCTCATGTTGTGTTGAAATAGTGGCATCAATATTGATAGTGAGTTATCGAAACACTTCATCCAAAACTTTTTGATCCTTTAGGGGAAGTGTATTTGCATTATCCTCCTCATGAAACTCAACATTAGCAGGAATATTATCGACAACTTCTTGATATTTCTAAAAAGCTTCATTTTTCTTTATTTCTTTGTTACACTCTCTCGATCTTTTGTTTTATCTCTCTGGAAAATTATTTCAAACCTTTCCTCGGAAGTAACTTTCATGTCATACCAAAAATCAGGGTTAATATTTTAATCTTGATAATTCAAAAATTTTATTTGTTTTATTTTTAGATTTTGACTAAATTGACACAACAACAAAACTGTTCTATAGGGTGTTTTTAGCGTGTTTTAGAGTAAACGCTGCTAACTTTAAACATATAGCGGCGTTTACATTCCAAACACCACAAAATGGTAACTTTAGCGACGTTTTTATACAAAACACTGTGACAGATTAGTACTTTAGAGGCGTTTTATGGTGCTTTTTCAATGAACGCCGCAATAGAGTAGTACTTTAGTGCGTTTTTAAACAAACGCTACAATAGGGTTCATCTATAATGACATTTTTTCAACAAATACCGTAACAGAGTAGTACTTTAGTGACGTTTTTATACAAATGTCGTAATAGTATTCATATGTAGTGGTATTTTTTCAACAAACAACAGAGTAGTATTTTAGCGGCGTTTTTATATAAATACCACAATTAGATTCATCTGTAGTGGCATTTTTTTCAAAAATACCGTAATAGAGTAGTATTTTAACGACATTTTTTTACAAACGCAATAATAATTTGATATGTTTGTGGCGTTTGGTTTTAAAAACACTACAAATTTTAAGTATAACCTTATTTGATATTTATTTCAGGTAAAAAGTTTAGAAAGCCTAAACCGAATAAGACTCTAGAATTCCCTCGTCTAATCTCAAAAAAAAAAAAAAGGATCTTCATTCTAAACTGAAACCTACGAAATCTATAAACCCACTCACTCCTTACTTCGACAACCGATGACTTTCGGTCTACCCCTCTCGATGATGAGTGACGAACGATGACGATTTCTAGGCTTTGGTGAGAGGTTCAAGCGAACGAGGTAACAATCCCCTCTTCCTTCCTATTTCGTTGGCCCCCAAAGAAACAAAATGACCCTCATTTTTTTACAGTTCTCAGTTTCATTTTGCCTTAACTTCATAATTTTTTATTTATTTTATAGATCTATTTTCGATCTGTTTGATTTGGGAAACACATAAATCTGGTTGACAAGAAGCTCTCATGGCCACCACTGAAAACAAGAACATGAATGCTAAATTAGTTCTTTTTCTATCTCTCACGTCATTTAAACCCTCGTTTTTTAATCACATGAATTTTCTGCGCTTTGGGTCAGCTTTAGATGCTAAATTATGATCTGGGTCTTTATGTATGGTGTTTCATGTGTGCTTTTTATGTGAATTATTTATGGGTTATATTGAATTTTGTGCTTGGGTCGGCTTTAAATGCTGAATTATGATCGGGGTCTTGATGGATTGTGCTTCATATTTGATTTTTATGCGAATTATTATATGTTTTTTGCTTATTTTTGCAAAATGTTCTTTTGATTTTAGTGGTTGGTTTTAGAGCCAATCAAATTCCACGTTTGATATTTGAACTGGTGTTTGTTGTATGTATCAGTTGTTAATATGTGTTTTGTTCTTCAGGTTCTACTTAGGGATGTCAGAGCCGGAAAATCGAGTCTTGTTTTGCGTTTTGTTAAAGTGCAATTCCTTGAGTTTCAGGTTGGTGCGGTTTGATCATCTGAGTTAGAACATTATTGATTCGACTTTTGAATTGGGAATATATGGTTTGGTATTGATTTATAATATGTAGGAATCTACCATAGGAGCAGTTTTTTCTCCCAGACGGTGGCGGTGAATGATGCAACTGTAAAGTTTGAGATTTGGGATACCGCTGGCTAAGAGAGGTACTATAGTTTGGCACCAATGTATTACAGGGGAGCTGCAGCTGCGATAATTGTTTACGATACAACGAATCAAGTAAGTTCATGACGTTTAACCCGCGTCTTCTCTCTGTGATTAGGTTAGTGTCAATGTAAAAATGCCTACATCTCTAGGTTATTGTCTCTTGGTTTTGTCAATGTGATTAGGCTTTGTATATCAAGCACAAAACGATCCTGTGCATGAGTACGTTTTGATGTCTTAGTACAGGTCTTGTTCTCAATCTGGTCTAGGTATAAAAATGAGCTATGTTCTTTGTCTTAGCTGTAGTTGAGATAAAACCATACATAAGTTCAATTTTTTAATCATGGTGAATTTATAAACTTGAGGTTTACATCCAAATTCCTTAGTTGTTTATCGGTTCTTGCTTTCCTACTTGAAAGAAAAATGGTGAGTTTGTTTTGGCTGTTATCTGTCTAATTATATCCATGCCATTTATTATTTTTCAGGATCAAAAGCTTTAAGAATCAGTTGATGTGTATAAGCTGCTAGGGGAATCTGTGAATTCCAAGAAGTAGGATATAGGGTTTGAAGAACCCAAAGCTTTTAAATCTAAGTTTGAGAATTGCTGCCTAGTGGATACGAGTAAATATTTTATCATGTTTTTTCTTCTAGTTTATATTCTTGTAATATATTGTCTCTGAATTCATTATTTTCATTGTTTGAATTAAAGGTACATTCCTGATGAAAAGAATCAACTCAAGTTGCAGATCAATACAAATTACCACTAGAAGATTGTTTTTTATTCTATTGTACAATGTTTTTTTAATTGAAAGAGAAATAATCTAGACTAAATTCTAGTGAACAATGTTGAACTATGTAACATTTTAATTTAATTTTATAAATTATGATTTATTTTTCTACATAATTTGTGTCGTAATTAAATTTTAAATTTATTGTTATTAGATAATGCTATAGAATAGAATATTAAATTTGGGTAATATAAAGTAGAAAATGATATATGCAAAATCAGTTACTATAGCGGCGATTATAAATAAAAGGCACCCGAAGTCGAGTTCTTTTGCGACATTTTGTTATGGAAACGCCACTAATGACCACACATTTGCGGCGTTTGTAAAAAAAGCCACTATATACATAGTTAATAGTGGCGTTTTTACCACAAACACCGATAAATATCATAATATGTATTAGAAAAAAAATGCCACAAAAGACAAGGTAATTGGCGACGTTTTTCTTAAAAGCACCGCTATAGATCTTTATATTTTGCAGTGTTTTTCTTAAAAACTCCACTATAGATTTTAAACTTTTGTGGCGTTTTTAATAAAAAAACGATGCTATAGAACTGGACCTTTGCGGCATTTTCTGTTCACAAACGTCTTGCGGTATTAGTTTTAACAGTGCTTCTTGCGACGTTTTTACATGCACTGGGAAAGTTTTTTGCAGCGCTTAAAAATGCCGATATAGAGCTAAAAACTCCGCTAAAAATCTATTTTACTGTAGCGTGAATAAATGTCAATTTTAATGATATTTTTGAAAACCTCATAAAATTTGAGGTCTTGTCTCATCATTTTACCAAAGTAACCCTATTAAATCTATTTTTTCCTTAACCTTAGAATTTAAGTTTTGATAATTTTCAAATATTCATTTTCTATTATATGTCGAAACAATTTTTCTTAAAACAAATAAATTTAATTTTTAAGTGATTTAAAATCTCGTTTGATTAATTTGGGGTATTTTTTAAGAAACATTGTTTGAGGAGTCGCCACCAATATTTGATTAGGGTGTGGTTGGGCCCATTGGGTCACTTGTAATTGGGCCTGATTGGGCTTGTTATAATTTTTGGCATGTAGTATAAATAAAATAAAATATATAATAATAATAATAATGATAATAACGGTCTTTGGGTGAAAACGGGTGTCGACAGATGTCCCTCTTTGTCCATTCTTGTGTTAACAATAACATGGCAAAGACAAAGAGACAATGAGTTTTTGTCCTGTTGAATCTGTCTTGGAAATCTGATATTGTCTCAAGTGAGACTTGAAATGAACAATATCTCAAGATCAGATATGGAAACGTTGATTCACTCCACTGCTCTTCAGGGAAGATTGAATCGAGGTAGATTTGTTCTACTGCTCTTCAGGGAAGATTGAATCAAGGTATATTTGTTCCATAATCTCAAACAAGGGGATTTGCTCTTCAACTCTTCAGGGTAAATCAGATATGAAAACATTGACTCATTCCACTACTCTTCAGGGAAGATTGAATCAAGGTAGATTTGCTTCTCTTTTCTTCAAGAATATCGAATCTGAAAATTAAACATTACCACTTGTCAGTATATGTTTGAGAATTTGAAAACATCATACCTGAAGGTTTCTGCTCCACTGCTCTTCAGTGTAGATCAGATCTGGAAATTTTGATTCACTCCACTACTCTTCTGAGTAGATTGAATCGAGGTAGATTTGCTATACTGCTCCTCATGGAATATCAAATCTGAAAAAGGGGTATGCTCCAATGCTCTTCATGGTAGATCAGATCTGGAAACATTGATTCATTCTACTGCTCTTTAGGGAAGATTGAATCAAGGTAGATTTGTTGCACTTCTCTTCAGGGAAAATGAAATCTAAAACAAGGGGATCTACTCTAATGCTCTTCAGGGTAGATCATATATGAAAACATTGATTCATTCCACTGCTCTTCAGGAAAGATTGAATCAAGGTAGATTTTCTTCTCTTGTCTTCAAGAAGATCGAATCTGAAAATTAAACATGACCATTTGTTAGTATATGTTTAAGAATTTGAAAATGTCATACCTAAAGGTTTGGAATTCAAGAGAATCTTTGAAAATTGATTTTTCTTGTGGAAACTTATCTTGCAGCCACTAAGTATAAGAATCTATTTCGATTTGAATGTTATTTTAAACTCTCCCTTTTTGGGACTTCGAATTGGTTACTTTTATCTTAGGATTTCAGCATCTTCAAACTTTATCTTTCGTTTGAAAGACCTGTAAGTGCTCAATTGCATTTACCGTCGTCATGCATTTTATGAATTTCATGATCATGTTTATGCCTAAAATGCGTGCAATGAAGCAATTTTAGTTTTTTTTTTCTTTTTCGAATGAGAACCTTATTTTTTCGACCGCCTCATGACCCAATTTATCCTTGGACACATAATTCACCACCGATTTACCCAACTGACAATCTTGATTATATACTCTTCTGTTAGATATAACCTTGATTCTCTTCCTTCTTGAACCTATACAGTATTCATGACCATCTACTTAATCAATGATAAACATCTTGGATTATCCCAACTTGCTGAACTTTTTATGTAGCCCAAGGTTTTAATTTCCTGTAGCCCATCATCATGTAAGCTCATGCTAAAACCATTTTCAGCTTTAGAACACTTGCATTTTTCCAAAACTGTTTGTACAATAATACAAAATGATCTCATATTTCCCAAGTTAATCTACATGTTTTTATTTTCACATTAGGATGCTTGCAACATAATGTTAAGGAAAAAAACCTTTTTTATTCATATAAACGTAAAGAGTTTTTTGGGTAAATACATAGCAAACTTTTAACTGGAAAAAATAAAAGAAAATAAAGTATGCATTATCAGATATCAATAGTACGAATGCTTTTGAACTGGCACAACACAAAATGACTCAAATGTAGCTTCTATTAAAGGGATCTTGAGAACTATGACGATGCTCAAGGGTCTGAAGTTCCCCCTGTACTACCAAATCTCCAAATGTTGGATGCTATAAACCAGTATTGAATCTCAAGTTCTCTCTATTGCTTTTCTGGTTATTCAATCCTTTTTCAATCTCTTATCCTAACCCTGATCACCATTTAATATTGCTTCTCAAATCAAGAGTTCTTTTAACTTCAAAATCAATTAAAAACCTCAACCCTGTATGAATCTTAAATTTGAATGACAACTCAAACCGCCCTTTACGGGTTTTCAACTTAAGACCTCATTTAGTTGCAAGACGCCCTTACAGTTTTGTATCTTGAACCCCCTTTTATTTATTTATTTATTTATTTTCTTTTCCTTTTTTCTTTTTTATTATTCAGGCGGAGTATTTATTGACAGCGTCGGAGTTCCAGGGTTAGGTAACTCTGATCCATCCATCTAAGTGAGGATTAATGCTCCTCCAGAAAAGGCATTATTCACAACATAAATCATCCAATTTGGCATCCATTTACCTCGAAAATCATTTTGAATTGGCAAAATCTTTTTAAGTACCAAATCTCTTTCTCAAAACTCTCATGGTTGAATCTTCTTACCATATGCCCTCATCATACATTTCTGGTACATCTGACCATGACATATAGCTTTTAATTTTTTTATCCTCAATCAGATTCAGTTGTTCATACCTAGCTTGTACACATTCTGCTTCATCTAGCTTAACTTATGATAATACTTAAGTGATAGAATTTCTACATCAATGGGTAACACAACTTCCATCCCATAGGCTAAAGAAAATGGTGTTACCCCAGTTGATGTCCTTACCGAAGTTCGATAGGCAAACAGAGCAAATGGTAACTTCTCATGCCATTCTTTATATGTCTTAACCATTTTCTCTATAAGCCTCTTGATGTTCTTATTAGCTGTCTCTAGTTCCCCATTCATCTTTGGGCGATAAGTGGTGGAATTATAATGTTTTATCTTAAACTGTTTACAGACTAATTCCATCATCTTATTGTTTAAATTTAAGGCATTATCAAAGATGATTCTTTATGGTAAACCATATTGATAAAAGATTTCTTTCTTTAAGAACTTGTAGACTGTTGACTAAGTGACATTTTCATAAGAATTCACTTCAACCCATTTGGTGAAGTAGTCTATTGCTACCAAAATGAAATGGTGACTATTTGAAGCCTTGGGCGAAATTTTTCCAATAACATCCATGCCCAACATATACAATGATCACAGAGAAGTAATCATGTGCAATAGATAAAGAGGGGTATGGATAATGTCTCCATAAATCTAGCATTTGTGACATTTTCTGGCATAATTGATACAATCAGTTTCCATGGTTAACCAATAATGCCCAAATCGCTTTATTTTTCTAGCCATTGTATGTCCATTGTCATGGGTACCACATACTCTCTCACGAACTTCTTCAATGACTGTTTTATCTTCTTTGGCATCCACACACCTCAATGGAACCTAATCAGGACTTTTCTTATACAAGGTCTCACCAAGCACATACCCTGCAGCCATCCTTCTAAGAGTTCTTTTGTTATTCTCGATTTCTTTCTCAAGATAACTTTGATATCTGATGTATTGTAAGATATCATAATACCAGGGATTTCCATATTCTTCCTCTTTTATGCTATAACAGTAGGCTGGGTACTCATAAGCTTGCATTTCAATGGCCATCATATTTGAATGTTCATTTACTTTGAAGGCTGCTGCCAAAGTGGCTAGGGCATCCACCATTTGATTTTCTTCTCTAGGGAGGTAATTGAATACCACTTCCTTAAATTCTTTGATAAGCTCCAAGACCAACTTACGATATTCCACCAACTTGGGATCTTTTATTTCCCATTCACCTCTATGTTGATAAATTACTAGAGCTGAATCCCCATATACTTTGAGTATCTTTACTTGACGCTCAATGGCAGCTTTGAGACCCAAAATACACCCTTCATACTCAACCATGTTGTTTTTGCAATCAAAATTCAACAGACTGGTGAAAGGAAAGTGTTCTCCACTAGGCGAGACAAAAATTACCCTAATTTCGTGAAGTATGGCATTCAAAGCACCATCAAAGTTCAACTTTCAATGTTCACTGATAGAAGTAAATGCCTCTTCAACTGAAATAGCCATTAAATCTTCATATGGGAAATAAAAAATCAACGGTTCATATTCTTCAGAAACCTTAGTTGCGATAAAATATGCTATAGCACTCCCTTTAACTTCTTTCTGGCTCGCATATTGGATGTCAAACTCAGACAATAAAATCTTCCAGCGAGGCAACCTTCCAGATAAAGTAGGTACACCCATCAGATATTTCAAACGGTGAAACATAGAGATCAAACAGGTGGTTTGATACAACATATACTACTTGAGCCTTCGAGTAGTCTAAACCAAAGCACAACAAAATTTTTCGATAGGTGATTGTCTTGCCTCGCAATTAATAACTTTTTTTGTTGAGGTAGTAAATTGCACTCTCTTTTTTCTCGGTTTGGTCATGCTGCCCTAATACACACCCCATTGAATTCTCGAAGATTGACAAGTAGAGAATTAATGGTTTGTCTGAAATAGGTGGCACTAAGACTGGGGTATTTGAGAAATAACGCTTGATTACTTCAAACGCTTCTTGGCAATCATCACTCTATACCCATGGGTTATTTTTATGCAGAAGGTGAAAAATGGGTCATATTTCTCGGTCAACTATGAAATAAACAGAGCAATGTAGTTTAATCTCCCTAGGAATCCTCGAACTTTTTTTGTATTTTGGGGGTGGTAAATTCTGAATACCTTTAACTTTGTTTGGATCTATTTCAATCCTTTTTTTTCTCACTACAAACCCCAATAGCTTTCTAGACGTTACCCTAAAGGTACACTTCCTTGGATTGAGTTTTAGCTGGCATTTTCTTAACCTTTGTAAGAGTTTCCTCAAATTCTCTACATGTTATTCTTCTTTCATGGCTTTAATGATCATATCATCGATAAAAATTTCTATTTCTTTATGCATCATGTCATGAAATAGTGTTACAATTGCTCTCTTGTATGTTGCCACTACATTCTTTATCCCAAACAGCATCACCTTGTAGCAAAATGTGCCCCACATGGTGACAAACATAGTTTTCCATATCTTCAGGGTATATCTTTATTTGATTGTAACCAGAGAACCCATCCATGAATAAAAATAGAGAATTTCCAGTAGTATTGTCTACCAGTGTGTCTATGTATGGCAAAGGAAAATTATATTTCAGACTCACCCTATTGAGATCTCTGTAGTCAACGCACATACGAACCTTTCCATCATTCTTTGGTACTGGAACAATGTTTTCCACCCACTCAGAATACTTAGTTACTTTAAGGAAACCAAGATCAAATTGTTTCTTTACTTCTTATTTAATATTTAGCAACATCTTAGTTCTCGTCCTTCTAAGCTTTTGCTGCACAAGCTTACACTCTAGCTTTATCGGCAATTTGTCTACCACCAACTCAATCTCTAAACCCGACATGTCCTCATGTGACCAAGCAAACACGTCTTTGTACTCTAAAAAAAATCAAATAATCCGAGATTCAAAGTTTCAGTGGACTCTTCATGAGGTAGAATATGTTTGTCTTCCCTTTTCACTATTTTTAGTAGTTAAGAAGATAAGTCACATTCCTCATCATTATCATAACCCTCGATTTCACCTTGACATATGGGTAGCCAAAAATTAATATCTGGCTCAGTGTCATCAACATTCATACTATTGATATCTGAGACCTTAAAAGAATAACAAACACAAGGATATATATACATATACACATACATGAGATTCTACCCCATATCAAAATAAATAGAATGAAATAATATATATATATATATATATATATACACACATAATTAATTAAATAATTAAAAAATGCACAGGAGAATGTTTGTCAATTTGTGAATTAATATGAATGTATTTTTAATTGAAGATTTAAAAACAAGTAAATTAACCCTTTACAAAAGATCACCTATTGCCCTGGGTTTAGATAACATTTAAATTTTTCGTGTATTACTCTGAAAAAGTTTTATAAACTATATGTAACTCCTATACAGTCTAATTGTTCAACACAAAGCCTGGCGGTGTGAGATATATGCCTACATCTCTTCCTTCTTTATCCTTATCATCCAGCATTACATTAATTCCCAAATCTCCCAAGTCATCCTCAAAAATTGGTTCCTTAACTGATTGTATTCCTTGGAAAATATGGCCTTTCGATACAAAGGTATCATGCAGTGGTGGGAAAATCATTGGCTCCCATTTAATATTATTCCCGGCTGACCTTGCTCTTCTTTTTTTCTGGCTATTCTGGATTCCCTTCAATTTTTCTGCTATGGTTGGCTGATATCCCAAACAAAAACGGTCTCTTTTAGTTGTAGGAAAAATCGGATTAACTAATCCCTGTAAGGGGGTGTTTGGATTGGGGAATGTGGGATTCCCATGGGAATGGAATCCACATTCCCCCGTTTGGTTAGCCCGGGAATCCTATTCCCGGTAATGTAAGATTACCAATAGTGGATTTTTTGGGGTATATTACCGGGAATGTCATTACCTCCCTTTCCTTAGGTATTGTTGGATTACCGGCGTTTTAGACTAAAATGCCCTTAAATTTTTATTTTTTTTCAAAAATATATTTATTCTGTCATCGAATAAATTTTACGAATGTTAAATTACAAATTTATCCTTAAATTATTTGGACAATTTGGTCAAATATACATTCCAATAATCTTTTATTCCTTTAACCAAACCGGTAATCTTACATTCCTGCTAAACCAACCAAACACAAAATACAACATTCCCAGTGCATTCCTTGGTAATCTTACATTCCCACTGGTAATCTTATATTCCATGAACCAAACGCACCCTAAGTGGCTCCCTAGCCCTTTTATCTAGGCTTTGATATCTTCTCCCTTCAGCCACGATGTGGCATTAACAAACTCTAGGGATCTGATGGAACATTCACAACTTGTTCCTCTACTTCAACATATGGATAGTAGTGGACACATAAGCAATATTATCTTTCTCGATTGATGCATACCATTTACCCTTAATCATAAATTTGAGTTTATAATGAAACGTGGATGGAACGGCCCTTTCCTGGTGAATCAAAGGGCTTCCCAATAGGAAATTGTATGTAGGAATGGTGTCTATAACAAGGAACATTACCTCGTAAGTATATGGACCTATGGTAAAATGAATATCAATCTTCCCCATCACTTTTCTTTTCATTATGTCAAATGCTCAAACAACTCTTTGGAAATTCCTCATATGTGTACTATCTACTGGTAACTTATTCAGGGTTTAATGGCATTAATTCAGCGTAGAGCCATTGCCAACTAGCACTCGAATAACACGTGCCCTTTGTACATAATAATAATGTAAAGCTTTTGAGACTTGTAGAACTTTATCGACTTCAAGATAGTCTTGTTGTCTTCATCCATTCCTTTTGTTATAGTGTTGGTTCCTAGCTCATCTATGGCTAGTGGGTCACGTTCCATCTACTTCCACTTCGATTCCATCTATTTACATCGTTGGTTCCTAACTCTATATAGTTAGAGGGTCACAATTCATTTTCTTTTCAATCCATATTTCATATTCCATGCCATTACCAACCCATACCTTCGCCATACTTTCATTACATCCAAACTACAATTACCATCATCTTCTGTTCAAAGCAAGCAATTCAATTTCTTACTATAATCATGATTGGACAATCATATATTATTCGAAACTCATAAACGATATCATATCATTTGGTATCAGAGCTAACCGATTTAGTAAGCGTATCATATCATTTTCTATCTCTCGGGTTAGTGAAAAAAAGAAAAAAGATTCAAAAAAGAAAAAAATTAAAGAGGGCGAAGCAATTCTTTTCATCTTTGAAAAAAATTAAGAAGGTTTCGTATTAGTTTCATCTTTTCTTTCATTATCTTTACGATTTTATTACCTATTCTCATCTTCGTTCTTTCTTGTAGCCATTTCTTTCTTTACTAACATTATTCTCCAACCAAGGCACAACTGTTTCAGTCAAAGTCTACAAGACACCTTGTAAACCTCGAGGGAGTTCCACAAGAACTTTAAAGGAAAACAAGAGCGGTAAAAGGCAAGAGTGTGCATTAAGGGTAAAAGACATCCCAAGTAAAACACAAGAGGAGAGACTTTTCCTTGGAGTATATTGGTAAGATTTTGTTGATGAGGATTTAAATCTTTTTATTTACTAACTATGTCTCAACAATCGAGACAATTTTCATATTTCAGGTGGTGACGCTGAAAATGATGGTGGTGCACCAAACTTGCAATACAAGCCATGACACGAGAGATAGGAGTTTGTTTCAAAAGCATCTCGACCCAATCTCAAGAATTGGAGCGAATGATAGAACGACCTTCTTGTTCACAAACGCGTCCAAGATCAAAACACAACTAAAAAGGAAAGACGACACTCGATCCTTTTCTAGTTCTACACCTAATTGCAGTAGAAGATCTTACAAGAAGGATCCCAATTTTCTAACAAGAAGAAATGTCAAAAGTTCAACGTGAAGTGAGCCAAGGAATTTTGCATCTTTCAATCCAGAAAGTCTAGCTTGTCTTCAAGTGTTTTTTGATAATTTTGTTAAAGAAACACAATTGCAATTTTATTTGCATAACATACTCTTTGAAAGGTTGCTTTCATTTTAGTTTTTGGATTAGAACTTTATCGGTTTCTTGTTAGTCTTAAAGCCTTCATCCATTTCATTTTTTATAACGTTGGTTCCTAGCTCACCTATAGCTAGTGGGTCACGTTCCACCCTCTATCACTTCGATTCCATCTTTGTATATTGTTGGTTCCTAGCTCTATATAGCTAGCGGGTCACAATCCATACTTTTTATTTAATCATTCATTTCCCACTCCATAACATCTTTTACCTTCACTATACTTCCATTCTTTCCACACTATAAATTATTATCACCACTACACTTTCCCCACTTTCCTTCTTTTCATTAAACCACGACAACCATCACCCTTCCATCACCTTCAAACCACTTTATCATAACCTACAACCTTTCATTTTCAATTTACTTATATCAATTTCTTTCTTGTAACGTTGTTTGTGCATTTTCAATATTCAATCAAAACACTGTGAAGTTATTATTAGAATCACAATTGGGCAACATCATATATGACTCGAAACACATAACCGGGATCATATCAATTGACCATCAGGATACTATCATTAACTTGATTACTTCTCTTATTCGTCACATTCTTGTGACAGCTTTAAGTCGAAGGTGAAGAGATTTACTCTATGAGTCTGCTTCCACGCATCAACAACCCCTTTGACTTTACTCTTATATTGTTCTCCTTTGAACGTGAACTCTGATCCAGATAAATCCCATGCTGCAGGAATAAACTGTCTTGACTCATATTGCCTAAAACCAAGTAAAGGTGCGTACCCTACAGAACCCTATATTCCTAGAAATGGAACCAATCTCATTCTTCACACCTGTAAAGTATGTCTGAAGAGATGTTCCACAAAGCGCGCCAAAATATATCACTATATCGGATATCCTTGAAGATGGCTATCCATTTCTCTTCAGTGTATCCCCCAGCCCATTCTCAAGAAAGGAAATCTTTCAAGGGTGAAAACCCTTCTAGAAACACTCGACTAGGTGCCCTCTCAACGTGTTTGAAGTGATTAAGATTCTAAACTAGTAATAGTGGTGCATACCTTATGATGTATCATTCTCATTCTCGACTGTAAGAATTTAAGGAACAAAATGTCTCTACTAGAATAACTGAAATGGGATCGACATGTCTGTCCAACCTCTCGAACAAATCAACCACTGATACATCAATGTGCCCTAGGACGTTTGGGAATACGAATAGCTT